ATAATTGATTTTATAATCTAAGAGGTTCAAGGATGCCAAATTGTGGCTGAGGCATGAAGCTGGAAGGGGCACTGGGAGCTTGGGTATTCTTGTAAAGTTTCATGGGAAGCATCGACCTTTCTTAACAAGAAATGATTTCATATGTCAGTGTGGTTAGAGTTATAGAAACCTTCAAATGATTTGATCAGGGCCCCCTAATTAAATTACATGAGCGGAGCCATGTACTTATCTATTTTTCTTGGATCTCTAGTTCTATGGATAGGGAAGACGATTGCTCTATCACTATTCTTTTTCGGAATTTTTAATACAAAATAATAAACTTAATATTTCGTCAATAATGCATACTAGGAGGCATTAATGAAGTCACAGAATTTAAATTAACAATAAGATTCCATATGACCTTATATCATATCTTATCAAAGAAGATTGCATATTAAATATTTCAAATCTTGAGAAAAACCCCAAGTCTCAGTCACCAAGTTGAATATATATGTATATTCATTAATTTAAACTATGAGTTCTTGAAAAAATTGTGAATAATTAGTTTCTCATAAAAATCATATTTTATATGTGATTTTAGAACTTAATATTTGATTGTAGAGAGGTTTTTAGGATCAAAAATACATGATAATCTTCGTTAGGCATTACCTATATATAGTTCTCAATTTTAATAGTCAAATGCTAGTAAGCTGTTCAATATTTCAGCAATTTTATTGGATAGAATTCCAAATATCTATATCTAATTATTGATTTCTTCATTAAAGTGTGCAATATATTAACATGAGGCTTAAAATAAGAGTTCCATAGTTGCTTCTTCTGCCCTACTTGGAAAATCGTATTAAGATTCATTAATTATTAAACAAATAAAGAATATTATTCTCAAACTATTTTAGTTTAAGCAAGCTACTAAATTTTATATATAACAAAATTTTAAGTATTATAGTAAGAACATTTAGATTAAGATATATAAATTAACAAGCATCTTTTGTAAATAGTGAATTTTCTCGCTTGGAATCTATAGACAAAGCTTTTAAACTCCATATAATTGTGTCATGTAACCA